ACCTGTCCAGGTGAACCTGCCTTCACCCTGAGTCAGCTGGGATAGACTCCAGCCCCTCATGACCCCAGTGAGGATTAAGCGGAGTATAGATGATGGATGGATGGATGCATTATCATTATTACTTGTAGCCTTGTCTTTACAGTTTTACCTTCTATTTACTTTTATTCTTTTATGATTATTATTATAAATGTTGCTAATTAGCATTCACCCTGACACTGACCCCACCAGTGTTTCTAGCTACATGTGGGTCAAACTTGATGTTCATGAGTTTTTTTTTCTATTCCCTGAGCCCTTCCAACACATTCACATGGCTCCAGTTGTCTCCAGGTGTCTGTGTTACAGGCTTCAGTTTAAATAACACTTTGCATCCCACACGGTGCAAACTGGGGCTGCTTGAATATTTCTTCACGGATAAAGTAACGCAGACTCCTATTCGCTGCTCTCACTATTCACGTACCTGTTTGCGTCTCCTGCACAGAGAGGTGAGGAGTCGCCACACGGTGTGGACGCACTGCAGCTCGATGACGAACAGCAGAGCGATGTAGACGACGCCCTGCACCGTGAAGGCCAGCAGGAAGCGACCGACACCGGGCTCTGAGATGGAGAAGTAGTTGGGCTGGTATGTGATGTCTGGAAAACACAGAAGATGCTGAGTTAGATCATTTTTCTCTCTACTTACTTTCCATCTACTTTCCTACTTTCATATACTTACTTGCAGTAAAATGAATTCATCTTTAAAATGTGTTTTTCTGCCTGATCTGGGAGTAAAAACTGATAAAACCTGAAAGTTACATTCCTGAATTACAGGAAACATCACTGTCACTATAAGAATGAACCAGCTCATGTGGTTCACTGCCTTTTTATTATATGTCATGGTCATATGTGCAACTCTGCATTACCTTCCAAGTAATGCATCTTTTAATTGTTCTGTAGCTACAAGAACAGATTTACCCCAAACCGTTTCATTCTCTCAGGCTACATCAGGTCAGCACTTACTTAGGATTTTACAGATTGCTTCGCTGAGGGGGCTGGAGGTGCAAAACGAGATGAACTCATAGTTCTGGTAGAACTGGCTGAAGGACATTCCCAGGCAGTAGTTTGGGAAGATCAGGAACACCTTGTCCAGGAGCCGAGACAGGTCCTGAAGATTCAGCTCTGAGGAGGAAAAATACACCTCGATAAAAACCTGATCCCTCACTGGCTTCCCACGCGCAGACACTGCACATGGCACACAACACATTAACCTGACAACATTATATATGAAGAAATACATTTGAAGAGTTTAAATATGCATAATATCAGAACACCAGCAGCCACAAACTGTCAAGTATTGGACTGTGTGCTGACATCATGTGACAGACATGTTACATAAGTCAGCTTACAAAGTGTGTTTCAGCTTTAAAAGAGCTTATATGGCCCCCTTTAACCTGCTTGTATTCTGCTGCCACACACATTCCTGACAAGTAAAAGGAGTCTTTCAGTGTTTTTTTTCTGCAAAAGAGGAAGAAGGAACAAAAGATTTCAGTGTTAAAAGTTTATCTTTATCTTTATCTTTATAGAATAAAACCTCCATGGACACTGCACACACAGGTGAGACTGTTCTTTACAGGATCAGAACTTTATCATTTTTGGACGAATAATAGGAATAATAGAAAAACTGCCCAACACAACTGGTCAGAATCAGCTGTAAGCAAAGGAAAGCTCATCTTAGCATCCGTTTTCTTACATTCGACCACAACTTCAAATCTCTCTCACCTGGGATGGTCATGATGGTCACGGCCAGGAAGGTGGCCGTGCCAGAGATCATGTTGAAGATGGTGAGACGGGTGTAGGCGGTGGCGGCCGTGGAGAAGAGGAAGCTGAGCAGGTACATGAGAGGCACCACGGCCCAACCGTACAGCAGGAGCAGCAACAGCACGTCCACCAGGTGGTTGTTCGCCACAAACGCTTGGACTCCAAACGCCTTGAAGACCACCTGAGAATAAACACACATGAAGGCACATCAGATCTGCCCTTAACAAACACTACTGACCCATTTACCAGTCAGTCTCAGTATTTTTATCCCAGTATCGGTGTTCCAGGTGCGATACTGACCAGCATCAGGAGGCAGGGCAGCAGGAAGTTGATCAGGTCCCACAGCAGGGCGGAGAACCAGAAGTTGGACAGGTAGACGCCGCTCACCTGCTGCACATGCTTCGACTTGATGGAGGACTCCGTGACGAGCAGCAGAGCGAAGGTGCTGGACAGCGAGGCCATTCCATACATGAGGTTAATGGCAATGGCGAATCCTGTTTTACCCCTTCAGACGGAGCAAAAAGAGCAACATGTTTAGTCGAGACAAGACAGAACTAAGAAACAGCAAGAGACAGATCAACAATAAAGAGTGCAGTGATCAGTTTAACTTCATCAATGTGTGTGATACCTGCCCTCACTGCTACAGCTGTCATGCACACAAGATCCCTGAGTAACAGACAAATTCACATCTTGTCCTGCTATGACCTGCTGTACTTTTTGGAATTCGGTGGAAACAAGTTGCGTTTATTCACACAGCAGCTCCGTTAAACTTCATTCTCTGGGTTTTCATTTTGCAGGGTTAACATCTGTCTTTCACACACAGCCGCAGGTTCAGGTGATAGTTTACTGCACTGACAACTCTCACTGCAAAAAATACGAATGAAAGTCAATTTAATAAAGCAGTTCTTGTCAGATTGATGATGGCTACAGAAGCTAACTTGGTGTTTGAATCTATTTTAGACTCCCTTTCTAGAGTAAAACTTCTCTTTCAGAATTTCTGGTTTACACTTTAACCTCTAATTTGACGACACACAGTCAATATTAATGGTGTAACTGATGCTCATACAGGAAATCTAACCTTTCTCATCATCTTTGGGATCCCTCCTGCTTTTTGAGTGAGCTGATTTTAACTGTGTCTTTCTTATTTTAACCCTTTAACATTGCTCACATGCAGCAACCCGTCCAGCTCTCCCTCTACTCACTCAGTGAGCTGGCTCTGGGCCGTCTCAGACAGGTTGCGTGGCATTGGGTAGTTTCCCGTCTCGATGGAAGCGTTGGGTCCAGCTAGGAGCTTGAACAGAGCGTTGTCCACCATCATGAGTGCTGTGGCCGGTGTGTGGTAGCCCTCGTTGTTGAAGTAAGCCGTTGCTTCTGCAATTTGGCTGCTGCTGCCACGGAAGGCAGCGCCGACCACGCAGCGCTCATTAAAGCTGCCCCCTTCCTCCTCGGCCTGGGTCAGGACGTAGTCAGTGAAGTCTGCAGGGAGCAAGAAGACATGAGGTCAAGAAATACTGAGCAGAGCAGAGCAGTCTTTGTCCGTCTCATCTCACCAGTGGTGTTGATGCGCTGGCCCAGCTGGGCAGACAGCTGGGAGCTGTAGGCGTCCGCCAAGGCCGAGGCCAGAGATCCGGCCCCCGGCTGCAGAGCCACCGGGACCCTGGTGGCCCCATAGCGGCTGAGCACCAGCTTCAGCTCGGGGGCGTTCAGGTGACTGGGAAAGGTGCGTGCCACAACTAAGGCCACAATAGTGAAGACCAAGGGAACCAGGAACTGAGCCACCATCACCTTCCAGTTCCTCCAGCTGTACAGCGCTCTCTTCAGGAACATGGCATAGAACTGCTGCAGGTGTAGTCGGACCTGGTGGAGGAGAAAACCGGAGCTGAAGCCTGAGCACTAAGAGCCATGTGCAGAACCTGAGGCTTTAGTTTGTGTGTCTGTCTCACCCCAGTGTTCAGCTTAATGTTGGAGCAGTCCTCCGAGATCAGGGTTCCGCTGTCGGTGAAGTCTGTGACGTCGGTCAGACCGCTGATGCTGCTGGCGTCATCCGTGGTCCAATCGTGGGAGCGTCTCTCATGCTGGTACTGGAGAGCTGGCAGCTGGATCGCCTGGATATCCAAACTGGAATCCACCAGCTTTCCAACCCTGAAACCACAAATCAACCAAGACTTTAGAAGTCAATTTTGCCAGTCAGCACCAAACTTCTGTGCTAAACTTCAGAAGTAAACTTCAATAAATTCCACCTTGAGGAACGTAAATAAAAAAAACATATATATCTACATATACATAACATATACATCTAATAAATGTAAAAACAGTGAAAAATTCAGCTTGTAAAGTTGTTTCTGGGCCTTTCAGTTCAAGTAGAAGTGAGACCAAAGCAGCTCAAAATCACAGCAGATCCAAAAATACAATAGTCGCCAAAAACGACAAAATAGGAAAACCATGTAGTTTAACACTTCTGGTCATCAGATGTGAATGAAAATCAAGTAAAACAGCTTTAATGGTAGCAGAGTTACTGTCAAACCGTCATTTTACTCAAATACCAAATGGCAGATGGAGGCTAAACGACCAAATGTTCAAACAGCAGCTTTCCCTGGAGTCATGTGTGATGTCTGGTGAACAGGACACACTGCCGGACTCTCAGTGCGA